ATTCATTTAATGTTGTCTTATTAAAAAATCAATATTTTCTAAAATGACTAAAAGAAAACAAAATAATAACTCAACTTTAAGTAATACAGAAACAGACTCCAAAAATTTAAGCAATCCAAAATCAGGGCATCCACTAACAGGAGTTTGGAAATGTTTTGAAAGAGGTGCACCCAAAGGCGATGGTCATTGGGAAGGAACCTGTATGTACTGTAAAAAATTTTATTCGCGTGCCAAGCCAACTATTTTGGAGCACATCTTGCTAATAGCTATAAAAATATTTCTGAGAAATGGAAACGCCATTTTAATTATATTTTAGTCAACAATTTGGAAGATATTCCAACTGATGAACCTCTTTATGACATGCCAAATACTACTTCATTTTTAGTTAAACAAAAAAAAGCAAAATTAACTAATTGGTTTGATTCTGTCAGAATTGAGCCATCTAAACAATCAATAATTGATGAAGCTATTGCATTAGCCTTTATTATGTGTGGTTTTTCTTTTTGTGTAATTGATAATCCTTTTTTTGTAAATGCTCTAAAACTTCTTAATCCCGGTTATAAAGTTTTATCACGTGAAATTCTTTCTGGACATCTATTAGATATTGAAGTTGCAAAAGTTATTAATAAAATTAATAAAATTTTAGATCATACTACTAATCTTACTATTGGTCTTGATGGTTGGACTGCTTCTAACGGATTATCAATTTGGAATTTTGTTATCATGACACCATTACGGCAAGAATTTCTTTATGAACTTGGAAATTACTCAGAACAATCACATACAGCAGAATTTCTAGCCAGTAAAATTGAATCAATTATTGATCATATTGGTAATAATAAAATTTCAGCAATTATTAGTGATAACGGAGCCAATGTAGCATCTGCACGACGCATAATTTGTTCAAAATATAAACACATTATGAATATCCGATGCATTGCTCATTGCTTTAATCTAATTAGTAAAGATTTTACTCGGCATACATTTTCAGAAAGGATGATTCAGCGTGCTAATAAAATAACAAGTTTTTTTAAAAGATCTCATAAAGCTGCAGCAATTTTAAAACAAAAAATTTCGGTACACCAAATTAGTGGAGGTGGTCTTAAAACCTATATTGAAACAAGATGGACAACAGTACATGAATGCATTTCATCAATTGTACGACTCAAAGTTTGTTTAGAGGATATTCAGGAAAATCATTCTGAAATTCTTAATCCTGTTATTTTGACGATTCTCCATAGTCGAGGCTTTTTTAGTGATATGCAATATCTTTCAGAGATTTTACTTCTAATTAAGGATACTATTTTGTCAGTTGAAGCAAATCATTCTACACTTGCTAACTATTATATTAATTTGATGAGAATTGCTGCGGCAATACAAAATCTTCCTACTGATAAATATAAAGGATTTCGCAATTATTGTATTAGAAAGTTTGATCAACGGTTTGAAGAATTTAATGATCCTGCTTATCAACTTATATATTTTCTTCACCCAGCATACAAAGGTATTGGATTAAAATTTGGTACATTTCCTTTCATTGCAAGTTATGCTGGAAAGTTATGGCAACAAATGGGCAAATCTCAAGAAAGTTGTGAAGCTTTAATTATACAACTGTGTTTTTATAAAGAGCAAAAACAAAATATAAATGGAAATCCAAATCCTTATGTTGCCCCTTATACAATTGGTAGTGATATGTCATTGATGTGGTGGAATACTTGTGAAGCTAAACCTAACCATTTGCAACGCTTGGCTATGCTAATTGCAAAAAAATTTTTTCATCATTAGGATGGATTTATGGAAATCATCGAACATGATTAGATATAGATCGATTAGAAGGGTTGGCAAAAGTTTATCGGTTCAATTTATCAAATCCTATAGATCAACTTCGTCATACTCAAATTATAGAAATAACTTCTGAAATAATGTTTGATATTGCAGAAACAGTTTTTAAAGAATTTTAAGAAGAAAGATTAGTGGAAGAAGAAGACATAGAATTGTCTAATTCTACTGAAGATTTTTATTCTAATGAACTAGATTTAAATTTGAATTTTTCAAATTTTATTGATCTTCGTTCTTCAGTTTTTACAAACTCTGAAGATCGTTATGAAAATGAGGTGTCAAATGAAATCGAGTCAGATGATGATTTACAAGAAAATGAATATGACGTAGATAAAATTGTTTCTAGACAGTTCAATGATTCATATTAGATATAGGCATTATAAAGTGTTAACATATATATTTTATGGTTTATACAGTATATTTTAGTATTAGGGTATGGCAGAATTAGGTCATGTGTTACTGTATCGGTAGCATATTTAGTAAAAATGTAAGGGATACCAATACTTGTGATGGATAATAATTTTGGACATTTAAATTGAATTTATATATTTCTCCATGGTTTATACGTAGTGTAATTTGGACATTTAAATTGGATTTATATATTCATATTATATTTTTACATCTCTTTTTAGGAATACCCGAGTATATAAAGCTTTAAAAAGTGATAAAAAACAAAGCGAAAATATATCTTGGGTACAAATATATATTTTAGCACTT